AACGTAGACCTTACATATTGTCACATGCACCAGGCCCGTAGCAATAGTTTTAAAAGTCGGGGGGGGGGGGATCTTCACAAACAATCTGACAAGGCCCCCAGAAAACATTGTTCCGAACGCAAAAATCCTATTTTGTATGTGTGTGGGGGTGGGGTGGGGGTTTCTTACTTTTTTTGGTGCACATTAAAAAAAAAAACATTGAACTCGCCAGTGCTTGGCCTTACAGCAAAATAAGTAAGTGGGGGCAGCATCAAATAAAGATTAAATATTAAAAATTTTACTCAGAAAAAAGTGGGGGTCGCACCCCCCACCCCACCCCGCCCGCGCGTTATACGGGCCTGTGCACACTCACACCTTTCCCTGAACCACTTGTATTGTTTTAATTTATTATTATTTTATATTTGTTCAAACGTTTATATGTTGATCTTTTCCTGTCACATTTTGTAATCGTGTTATAAATAATAACCTGGAATACACTGACTAAGACGTACGTTACTTCCAATAGTAAGTTTTCTTCGTCTTTACCACCCTTGAACGGCAACTCGGATGCAATCCGTGGATTGTTTGAGTCAATCAAATGAAAAGACTTTGATTTATCAAAACTTATTTCGTCCTTTATTGTGATTTTATTACAACATTTTTCTACAGTGTTTATGACTTGAATCACAGGCATTTGTTTCTGTAATAATTTTTTGACCCATAGTGTAATAATGTTTTTTTTATGCTATGGGTTAAAAAAAATATCATAGAAACAAGTGCCTGTGCTTTGAATTTGGTGCTAGATATATAAACAACTTCAAGGTCCTTAAAAAAACTAAGAAGCATTTCATTTGTTAAAATTAAATATTCCGTCAACATGTAACTTACAATGTGCATCAACATGTACATGTAAGTAGTAATTGCATGACCTTAAAATGTATAAAAGTTTTCATATGTTTTTCAAACAGAGTACACGATCATGCCAAACATTTTGCCGATCGGCATCACTTAATGTGCGATCCTACAACTGAAATAACATGGTAGATAACTACTGTATATAAGTATATTATGATTTTTCAAAATTACAACGGAGAGGTGATGAACTTTTGAGCAAAGGGAAACGTTTATTGACATATCTAATTCATTAGAAATGCCACGCATAGCTATTAGAAAATAAAGTAATATATTACTACTAGTTTAAGTTACGTTGAGAGGAAATCAAGATATTAGGGGTATTTTCCCGGGGGGGGGGGGTACTTGCCCCAATTTCGACCGACAAGATATTTTGCCTACCCTCTGATTGTAAACACCTACCACAATTCTTGCATTAATTTAATAGTGAAAAATAATCTGACATGAGAAGCATGCCAAAAAAGTATGACCCAGCTAATACTCCCCCCCCCCCCCCCCGGCAGTTAAAATCAATAATTTGTGCCTAAAAGAAACCTGTATTGGTCATTGAACAATCAGAATGGATGGAATTAATTGGATGGGAACATATAAACATGCAGAGGTTCTATGTCACAGTCTTTTCTTGCAGAAATAAGAGCCGTAATTGCTCAGTAGACGTAAGCAGTCTTCTCCGGCAATTGGCGATGTCATGCACTGACTACATGTATTCCAGAATAGAAGGTTTATCTGTAAAGTGTCTTGTATCTTTGCCGAATTTCTTTGATTATGTGACATGTAATCTGTTGTAAAATGCATTTATCTGTATAAAATAAACTCTTTGTTATGCTCCTGATGTTAAAACTTTTTAAAGTAGGTCAAAAGGCTTTCCAAGGCTTAAATGTTACATTGTTAAACTGTATACTATATAATGCCGATTTAAGATAAAAAAAAAAATATTTACAAAAATTACAATATGATATTGCATTACTAGTATTTCCACGATCAAAACACTAAGTTCTTGTAGGTGATGGTAAATTATTCTCGTGTTTAAGATAAATATTTTTTTCTACCAATGGAACTTTGTTTACTTGTATCGTTCAGACAAGGGTTGAAAATATTGATAAAATTGCTTAATTTCAAATCAGAATGCATTGTTTACATTTTCTAAAGATCAAGACAAATGAAATACCCGTTTAAAATTCCTTTTCTTTCAGATAATTTTTCAGTAATAGAATGGTAAAATGATTGTTTTTTTTTTAACGAGAGGCTAAAATGGCGCGAAACTCAGAACGATGACGGAACGTCATAATCAGTTTTACTTGTGACGTAATGAGTTAACAGTAGGCCCAAAATAGGCCCATGGCACTAAACGAAGTTTTTGAAAATAGGCCCAAAATAGGCCCGCGGCACAAAGAATGTTAAATCATGGTACATGGAAGTAAAAAAAAAAATAATTAAGAAACTACAATTTTGAAGGAAAGAATTGGCCAAAAAAATATGAAGTTAACCTTTAGACTAATTTGATTTTTACACAAATTATCGGGGACCGCTTTGGGACGTTTAAAAGATTCATTCTTTATAGAACTATTGTCAACCCATAAAGACAAAATGTTGGAAAAAACTCAGTGTTTATTCTGAAAAATTATAAAGTTGCCTGTCCTCCTTGTTTTCTTCATTGCTATTTATTCACTTTTTCTTCTGTTTCTTTTATTTACATCTTATCTCTGACTAGTTTCTACAATATTGTATATATGTTATGTTGTATGTTGTCCTTTGGTTTATGTACCAATATTTTGAATGCCCACGAGATGTTTGTTCTCAGGAATAAAGAACTGAAATGCTATAGAGATTAATCAATTTTACACCTGGATTATTTTCAGTTTTTTTTTTCAGTCTGCCTTCCACTGGCTGAAGCAGATTGTTTTGTGGTCTCAATGGCCACTAAAATCAATATTTTTTAAATTAAATTTTAAATTTTTTGCAATGAAGAAAATAAATCTTTCCAATTAGTAGAGTTGTCCTTCTTCGTACGTTCTAACCGAAATAAAACCTAATCTCACCTGGACCTGCCCTCTATATTTTTAATAGAGTTTATTGAAGCCCATAAAAGTAAAAATTGAGTATATGTATTGCCAAAGGCTTGTCATCTTGTCAAAATTGAACATTGTCAATGGTTTGTCATCTTTAAAAAGAACTGTTTTATTCTCGCTCTTCTGTTAAATGGATGGTATATTAGATATTTCTTTTGACTAAAAGGGGAATTGGCGTAACACAGAAATGTTTCTTTTAGAAGTCTAATTACATTTTGAAGATTCTGTGTAAAACAACAAACTTTTTAAAATAAAACGCCTTGTTTTGTCTCATTCCCATTTTTCGTTATTAAAAGAATCAAATCAAACAGGGAATCCGTTTCTCTTAAGGTGGTTTTAATTAAAAATAGCTCAGACTGTATCGATATCACTTTTCCTGGATTTATTATAGGTATTATATTTTATTGAATTCAATTTTAAAAAGTCAATCTCTCTCTCTCTCTCTCTCTCTCTCTCTCTATTATACAACTATTGCTGGTTTTTTAGGTCAATACGATAATTTAGACACCTGAGGAGTACAATATTCACCGAGCCCGAAGGGCGAGGTGAATATTGTACTTCGAAGGTGAATAAATCATCGTATTGACCGAAAAAACAGCAATAATTGTTTTATTATATGATTCAATGATTAAATGACACACACTCATTAAGCAACACATGCCACCTTACTTGTTCACATCTACTGAAGTACTAGCCGAACTAATGAGAGAAACGAGGTTAAAAAAAACCCAGTTGTATTATTTTGGAATTTTTAATTCTAGTTTAGGTGCAATGTAGAAAAAATAAATGTCAGGCACATATATAGGATTGATTTTGAAAAAGGGGACATAAATTAAAAGGAAAAATGACAACTTACATGAAAACAAATCTTTGGCTAGCCCCCCCCCCCCCCCCCAAAGGAAAAGAATTCTCCAAACTCAAAATTTTATTTGGTGGGATGTAAAGGTCCATAAACGAGGGGAGGGGGGCTTTTATTGAAATTTTTTATCCTTAAAATTTAAATTAAAACTTTACATTCTCAAAAATTAGGGAGAGGGGCAGGCCTCCTGATACCCCCCACCCCTCACCCAAGAATCTATGTGCCTTAATGTTATGTTCATATGAGTGGAAGTCAGGTGCAAGTGAAATAACTTTTCAAAACTATTTGCATCAATTTTGAATTTCTCTATCTATTTTTGGTCCAATGTAGAATAAATAATTCCTTATATTGACCCGGAAGGTCACGTGCAGGTCAATATAACGTAGTATTTTTCTAACATTGTTGGATATCAGCCAATCAGAGAGATGGGAATTATTCAATCATATAATAAATATATATATATACAGTTACTGAGACATATGGATAAACTTTCCAAGTGAAGCAATATACTTATTCTCTTTAGAGAAGTGGACACTTCAAAGCAATACTGTATTCGTTGGTTGTGGAATGTCGAAGTAATTGAATCTCTGCACACGGAACTTTGATTGTTGGAACCTCACAAAGAGATTTAAACCACGCCGCCTAACGTTTGCTTAACATAAGGCTGTGTGCATTATTTGATTCTACACTTCTGTAGATTTAAAGACAAAATTAAGGGCATAAAACTCAATTTGGTTAATTCACTATTTTCAGTAAGGACGTTACCTAATAAATTTTTTTTCAGTTTATACAATTAATGGTCAAAATGTCAATGCATTGATACTTTACTCTTTCTCTTTTTACAACCGAATATCTTTATCATATTTTTGTGTACTATCGATCGTTTTGCAATAAAAATGATGAATTCATCTGAATTTCATTATAATTTGCATGATGAGTACTTTAAAACAATATTGGAAGAGAAAGTTGAACAATATCCCCATGGATCTCCTCCGACTTCAAGTGCTATAAATACATGAAACACACAGACACAATCCCATGCAGAGGTCAATTTCAGTTTCCAAATGCGTTTAGGGCTTATCTTTTAAGAAAATTAATTTACAATTTATGTCTTAATTAAGAATGAATACTAGTATAGGAAATAATACAAACAAAACTTCAACAATAAATCTTCCACCTACCTTGCTGCACGTAGTTTGCGTGTGAATCACAATGTCGTCAATACAGGGTAGCCGGTAAAAATAACCATGATTATTTTTTGTCACTGAACCCAGATACTCAATGGAACATTCATTCAGCAAAGGGCAAAATGATATTTATCATCGTTAAATGAAATATTTTTATAGTTGTCCTCTAATGGGAACCTTTACACATTTATATTATTTTGCATATGGCAAATAGTTATAGTAGCTCTGAAATCCAGCCGTGGGGGTTACGAGTTCATCCCAGAGGCATGCGCAGACCTGTTTTAAGTAAAACTGAAACTACCAGAAAAACCTAACACTTCCATTTATATTGTCTTTTAATTTTTATAAATTGACTGACAAAAGAGAAATTGCGATAAAAACCAAACAGTTCTAATTAGATTGTCTTTTAATTTTTAAATTGACTATTTCTTTCCATTATTGATATCTTTTCAATATACATGTCTTTAAATTTTTAAAATTGACATATATATATATATATATATATATATATATATATATATATATATATATATATATATATATATATATATATATATATATATATATATATATATATTATTATTATTATTATTATTATTATTATTAACCATCTTTTAAATATACTTTACATGTTCAGTGTAACAGTTATAGATAATGGTACACAGAAGCTTGGTCAGACAGTTAAAATGATACAAGTCTACCATTATTAACAAAGTCTAAAATTGAAATGTGAAAACGAACAGTGATCATATTCTCAAAAGTCCATTTAAACAATTTATAAAAATTAAGAATACAGCCAAGAGGCTTACTAATTTATTAAAACTAATAACCCAGTGAGTATCCATAAAAAAATTGAAGTTATAATGTTTAACAGCATTTAGGTTTTATTTTACACTTCAGCGGCACCCTACAATGGTATAGTAGTATTTAAGACATACAAGTATATATTTTTGTTTCCTCTTACGTTGAAAATATGTCACTCACATGACACGAGATCACGTTCACACGACTTATCTTGTCGTTCGCACGATATATCTCGTTGTTTAGTTCGCACGAATTATGTCGTTCACACTACATGTATATAATACATGTATTTTGGTAAAATATAATTCTCATTTTCTCTCTCTCTCTCTCTCTCTCTCTCTCTCTGATCTTTGTGATGTTTTTCATTACCGGTGTTGTAGAGCAGGATTTCCCCCATAGGCAGCTCTCCTACGAAAGCCATGAAGGGACATGAGGATTTTCAAAAAAGTGTAAAAGTAAACCGAGATCTCGATTTATATAATCCGTTCTCTCGGATTGACAATCTGTGATAACGAATTACTAATTCGTTCTCACAGATTATCAATTAGTTCCCTCAAATTACACAATCCGTTCTCTCGGATTGTAATTCGTTCTCTCGGTTTAAACAATTCGTTCCCACGGTTTAATTGTTCGTTCTCTCAGATTATCAATTCGTTCCCTCAAATTACTCAATCCGTTATCTCGGATTGTAATTCGTTCTCTCGGTTTAAACAATTCGTTCCCACGGTTTAATTATTCGTTCTCTCAGATTATCAATTCGTTCCCTCAGATTACACAATTCGTTATCTCGGATTGTAATTCATTCTCTCGAGTTAAAAAATTCATTTTCTTGGAATGTTTGTCGTTATCGGGAGGAATATGATTTGTTTTACAGGTTATCCATTTTGATTTCATGCACCATTTGCTGGTCTACCAGCTGGCAGCTGAGTGCACTTATTTATCTGTCCATCTCAGATATAGCAATATTTGTTTAATGAATAGAATATAGAATAGTACACACTCTACATTTCATTACATATCACGGTCCTTACTGAGAAAATTACACGAACATTTTTCCAATCCATTTACTAGTACTAATATTTGTACAAGTAAATTCTTAGATATTTGGTTATTTATAGAATCATGGAAAACACTGATAAAAGTAAACATGGGTCCTCTGTAATTATTTTTATTAAATAAATTTACATTTACTTAATTTAAAAATACTACGGAACGGCCTGTTGCATAAACAAAATAGAACGCATGATTGAGATAAGGGAATGGATTCTTCAAGTCGTAAAACATGTAATTGATGGATTGTCTAAATCAAGAGGCCGAAGTGATAATCAGTGGGAACGGATTATGTAATTCGAGATCTCGAATTATAAACCGAGGGAACGAAGTGATAATCAGTGGGAACGGATTATGTAATTCGAGATCTCGAAGTATAAACCGAGGGAACGAATTGGTAATCAGTGGGAACGGATTATATAATTCGAGATCTCGAATTATAAACCTAGGGAACGAATTAGTAATCTGTGAGAACGGATTGTGTAATTCGAGATCTCAAATTCATTTTTGCTTTTTTGAGAAATCGACGTGTCCCTTCATGGCTTTCGTTCATGGCTTTCGTAGCTTTCGTAGACTTCCGTAGAAGCCAAATTAGGACCTATCAAAAAATATTTTTGAATTCGTTATATAACGAATTTTATTTGTAATAACGAATTAAATTGGCTAAATTCGTTATAACGAATTTTAAAATTTGTTATAATGAATTAAATTTGTTTAAACAAATTCTAAAATTTGTTATGACGAATTAAATTCGTTTACTTATTTTTTTTTATTTCGTTATACCGAATTCAACAAATCTGTTAAAACAAATTTAATTCGTTTTAACAAATTCGACACTTTGTTATATCGAATTCATTTTTTTTTTGATAGGTCCTTCTTGGCTTCCTTATCACAACCCATACTATTACTATCAAAAAAAAAAAAGAATAAGATAGTAAATTAAAAAATTATTAATAATGCACCGATGTATATTGAATATGTAACAATGAAATTAATAATACATTTATTAGCGAACAAGAAATTATTGATATTGTATCAATACTCACTGCAAACAAGGTTTTAAGTCCGGACAATATCAGTAAAAAAAAAAAATAGGGAAATCATTTAAGTTTTCTATTACTAAACCACTTTGTTTACTGTTTAATCGTTCTTAGAACAAATTTATTTTTCTTTCAAAATGGAAACTATACCTATTGTATTTCCTCCTTTCATAACAAGATATCAGTTAATAAATTAAAACATATGGTATTAATGGAAGTGTATATAACTGGATAGAATGTAAGGAGAGGAACCAGTAAGTTGTAAGAACTTGTTTCCAATCCTTTTGATTCATTCAATAAAATATGTTTAAAAAACAAAAAGAATGCAGACATCATATAGTTTTATATCGATACTTGTCATCATCACCTAAACCTTTCATTCTGATGTTCCTCAAGGCTCGGTTTTAGGTCCGCTTTTGCTTTTAATCTATGTGAATGATGTTGCTGATTACTTTATTATGTAGATTATTTGCAGCAATGCTGCATTCATCTCAAAATATTAAAATGAACTACAACAAGAAACTTAATTCAATTTGCATATTTAACCCGTAGGGGCCAAGCCAAAATCTAAACAAGAGGCTCATGGGCCACATCGCTCACCTAAGCACTTTGGCTAGGAAAATGCAGAAATCAGTTCAATATTGAAAAATTTAAATATCTAAAGTGGTTCCGGGGGGGGGGTTATGATTTGAACAAACATGACTAATAATATCTTTGCTGTTCTTAAGAAGAAATTTTTATTGATTTATCCTTTATATTCCTTATATAACTATGATCCCCTGTTATGGCCCCTCTACTCCTGGGGGTCATGGTTTGATCAAATTTGAATCTACATTACCTGCAGAAGATTCTTTTATTTTATTATGACAAATCACGGTTTTGCTGTTCTTGAGAATAAGAATTTTAAAGATTTTCCTGTGTATTCCTATGCAAAACTTTGATCATCCATTGTTGCCCCACCCCATCCCCGGGGGTCATGATTTGAATAAACTTGAATCTACACTACCTGAGGATGCTTCCATATAAATATGATCAATCAAGGCTTTTCTGTTCTTGAAAAGAAGATTTTTTAAGATGTTCCCTATGTATTCCTATGTAAAACTTTGATCGCCCACTGTGGCCCCACCCTACCCCCGGGGAGTCATGATTTGAACAAACTTGAATCTACACTACCTGAGGATGCTTCCACATAAGTTTCATATTTTCTAGCACAGTAGTTCTTGAGAAGATTTTTAAAAGATGCCATAATTTTTTTACGAATTCGTAATTATCTCCCCTTGAAAGAAGCCGTGGCCCTTGATTTGAATAAACTTGAATCCCCTTTACCCAAGGATACTTTGTGACAAGTTTGGTTGAAATTGGCCCAGTGGTTCTTGAGAAGAAGATGAAAATGTGAAAAGTTAACAACGACGACGACAGACAACGGACAAATTTTGATCAGAAAAGCTCAGTTGAGCCTTCGGCTCAGGTCAGCTAATAAAAAATACAATTTAAAAAAAGAAAGAGAAAAATACAATACATGTACATTGTATAATTGATACGTGGTCTCATGTAAAACTAACTTTGACCGACATGGAAATCATTTCGGCAGGTCTAACGATTGCTTTATGAGGCCTCCAACTGCTACTTTAAAGTATTCAGGTAGAACCAGTAGAGTAGCGCTACCTCGATAACCCAGATACTCTGGTCTCTTTTTTATGCCTCCGTAATCGAAAATTCGGGGGCATATAGTTTTAGCCCTGTCCGTCTGTCTGTCTATCTGTTTCACTTTGTCTGTTTGTCCACCGCAAAAACTTTAACCTTGCCCATAACTTTTGATTGGTTGGAGCTATGGCTTTCATATTTCACATGTGTGACAAGATCTTTCATTGAGTATCATTAAATTTGACCTTTTGACCTTGACCTTGGAGTTTGACCCAGTTTTGCAAAATTTTATCCAACTTTAACCTTGGCCATAACAGTTGGCGCCAGTGTTTTCATACTTCACATGTGGAATCTTTTTAAAAAGACCTTCCTTTGGATACCAGCAACTTTGACCCTTTGACCTTGACCTAGGATTTTGACCTACTTTTGAAAAACTTTAACCTTGGCCATAACTTTTGAACGGTTGGTGTAATGGCTTTCATACTTCACATATGTAATCCTTGTGACAAGACCTTTCTTTGGATACCAGCAACTTTGACTCTTTGACCTTTGAGTTTGACCTATATTTGGAAAACTTTAACCCTGGCAATAACTTTTAAA